AAAAAAAAAAAAAAAGGTCGAGAAAGAAGAGGGTTGACATGTCGTGGGGTTGTTAACCAATGTCATAAAACAATATATGTACTACTGTTTCATGAGAAACTATTCTGTAAACTTTCATCTGAAGTTCAATTAAAAAAATATATATGAAAAAAGGCATACTCCAGAAACCTTTGTGCTTGTTTAGATGCAGCTCAATGAAGATGACATCCTTTATCAGAGAAGTTAAGACAGTATGTTATTAAAATAACACCAAGCCACAAATATTTGGGTAAAGTACATGCTTTTAATGTAATTAGCTTTAAATCAAATGAAGGAATAATCAGAGCCATTGGAGACTCTTAATTGAATGGGGTGTGGTGGGAAAAATGGATTGCTTATTTGTACTGATAAAATTTCTCTTGGCAGGTTGGTAGCAGCGCTCCAGGAAAAAAATTCAAATTTATGCCTATTAACTGTTGAGACAGGGCATGTTGCTAAGGTTCAAGAGCCTTCTTCAAGTGCAGCAGGAGGTCAAAACACGGACACTGATGCAGACAGCAGCATTTACAACACAAATAGGACAAAAAGAAAGCCAACCTGTCTCTTCCGGAAACCCTGGTGGCGTAGTGGTTAAGAGCTATGGCTTACTAGCCAAAAGGTCGGCAATAGGCGCTCCTTGGAAACCGGATGCGGTTCTACTCTGTCGTATAGGGTTGCTATGAGTCGGAACTGACTCAAAGGCAACAGGTTTAACGAGTTCTCTCTTCCAGGAAACAGAACTAGCAGCACAAAGAATATTCTGGCATGTACAGGAATGAGATTGCTCGCAAATCTTATCAATATGAGGAGATGACAGCTGAGACTTTGCAAGATTATAAAAAGAAGTGCTGCATAATTATTTAAAATTTAAATCAATAACAATTAAACACTGCCTTAGCCTAGTCTAAACCCTTGCTAATCAAAGTGTAGTCCTTTGGACCACCAGCATGAGCCTCACCTGGGTGCTTGTTAGAAATGCAGAATCTCAGGCCTCACCTGGGACCTCTGGTATAAAAATCTGCATGATAAGAAGATCCTCAGGTGATCTGAATGCACTCATTTGAAAAGCACTGCTCTAAACTTTTCCTTAGTGGAAATACACTTCTCTGTCACGGCTACTTACTTTCTTTACTCAGAACTCCATGGAAGCTGACCTCCTTCTGCCTCTCACATTGCTTATGAAAAGAGCAACATGAGGCAGCTTTCAACCCATCACTGGTCAATTAATGCAGCTTTTAGCTGCAATTACTGGACATCTCTGCTCCCCAGATGCTCCTGACACCTGCAAAAAGGAGGTTTTTCATCCCATTCCTTCAATGGGGCAGGTTTTCTCCCAGAACTGCCTGTTTTCTTTCCTTTTACCTCATTCTATTTTCAACAGAAAAGAGCTTTGAATTATCAGTTTTTCTAAAGTGAACTGCTACTGCCTTTCTTAAAGTAGAATGTATTTGCCACTCAACTGCACATAATTGCAGCAAGAGCTGACGCTAACCTGGGGACTATTATTCAGCAGAGGGCTATTACTTTCCACCAGGAAAGTTTATAGATTTGGACTTTATATGCATAGGGAAAAAAAAGAATTCGGATAACGAAATAGAATTTTAGAGAACGAAAAGTATTTTTTTAAAAAGAATACAATAGTCATAACAGAACAAGTGGTTAAGTATATACACTCTGGATTCAGGCTATGTACGAATCCTGGCCCTCCCCTTATATTTGGGCTACCTTGCTTGCTGAAAGTGAAGAGGACTTGAAGCACTTACTGATGAAGATCAAAGACCACAGCCTTCAGTATGGATTACACCTCAGCATAAAGAAAACAAAAATCCTTACAACTGGACCAATAAGCAACATCATGATAAACAGAGAAAAGACTGAAGTTGTCAAGGATTTCATTTTACTTGGATCCACAATTAACATCCATGGAAGCAGCAGTCAAGAAATAAATGACACATTGCATTGGGCAAATCTGCTGCAAAAGATCTCTTTAAAGTGTTAAAAAGCAAAGATGTCACCTTGACGACCAAGGTGCACCTGACCCAAGCCATGGCATTTTCAATCACCTCAAATGCATGCGAAAGCTGGACAATAAATCAGGAAGACCAAAGAAGAACGGATGCCTTTGAATTGTGGCGTTGGCGAAGAATATTAAATATATCATGGACTGCCAAAAGAACGAATAAATCTAACTTGGAAGAAGTACAACCAAAATACTGTTTATAAGCAAGGATGGCAAGACTATGTCTCACATACTTTGGACAAGTTATAGGGCTGGATCAGACCCTGGAGAAGGATATCAGGCTTAGTGAAATAGAAGGTCAGCGAAATAGAGGAAGACCCTCAATGAGATGGACTGACACAGTGGCTGCAGTAATGGGCTCAAGCACAACAATGACTGTGAGGATGGAGCAGGACTGGGCAGTGTTTCATTCTCTTATACATAGGGTTGTTATGAGTTGGAACCGACTCGATGGCACCTGACAATAACTCTGTTTCCTCATTTGCACCTTGGAGATCGTAATAGTACTACCTGATCAGGTTGTCCGGTGAATTAAAGAATACATGCAGAGCAGTTAGCACAGTGCTTAGCAATGATAAATTCTCAGTAACGTTTAGTCTTTGCTATTACTACCCATTGCCCTTGAGTTGATT